TGCAATTAGTCACCTGGAAGAGAACACACGCCTCCTTTTTATATATAATAACACCGGTTCTTTTTCCAACGGGCTTTTACTGGTGCAACCCGAAACCCAAAACATGTCATCTCTAACCCCATCGAAGAAAAACATATGTGTTTTTGTTCATAATTTTTTCTTTCTTAGGGCTCAAACATTGTGCAAAAACATTGTTCGGCGTTTTTCTCATGATCAATTCTTGGTTACTTATTCTTATGTCCGTTTATTTCTTTTTCACAATGAAACCTTTTTAAGTCAAACTTCAAGGGACTAGAAAATAGAAAATCGAGGTGAGGAGTTTTCCATTCAAGTAAGGAAACATTTATGTTGAGGGGAAGAGAAAATGAACGCAAGAAGTTGTAATTGGTGAAAGTTTGGGCTTTAAATTGCTCTTTAAATGAGCTGACAGTAGGATCCTGAATTCGGAAATAAGAATTAATTTGCCCAAATAATAGTTAACTTCCTTTCAAGGCATATCAAGTTCCATTGTGATTGTTTTTCTCTTTCGCCTGTCGATAAAATACTGTATTATCGAAAAGGCCTCTACATAATTTGAGTTTTCGAGGTTTCCTAGGGAAAGCCTTTGAGTTAGAGAGATGTTTTCAATGCTTTATTTCCATGGAAATTCAGACAGGGCTTGCAAAAATTTGAAATTGGCAGGTATGAGACTTGGAGAGGTTTGAGTCATTAATGAGGTTCTATTGTACTTAAAATGTGCGACGTATTTAAACCAATTACTTCATTATACTAGGAATAATCCCTTGAATTAAGTAGTAAAGCATTAAATTTGATTCTTAGATCATCGAGCGGTTAAAAAAAAAATACTCCATGATTCCAAGCCACTCCTTGTTTAAGATTCAGCGCTTTTTGTCCATTCTATAAAATTGATTCATTTCCTTTCGCACATTCAAATTCAAGAGATGAAAAGCTCATTCGAGAAAAAAAATTTCCGGCATGGATTAAGCTTGTAATTTAGAAACCCACTGGAACATTTAATATCAATAAAATTTATTATAGCCGGGGAAGAGATTTTCATTGAGTCAATTGAAAAATTAATGATTTCCACGCAAATTATCCTCCTTCTTGCCCGAACCATTAGATTAGTGAAATAAATAATTAAATTCATTTTTTCCATGTTACCCCCAGGTGTTTTTTTTTTTTTTTTTTTTGTTTGTGTTTGTGTTTTTTTTTTTTTTTTTTTTTTTTTTNTTTTTTTTTTTTTTTTTTTTTGCAGTTGGCGAATGGATTATTCAAATATTCCAGACAAAAAAAAAAAGACGGAGTTGTTACTGTGCTGCATGTTGGGGTTAATACCCCAGGCAGTTTGCGACCAAACCGTTTGCTGTGTTCTCATTTTCATTGTCTTGATATTCTTTGGAAATCTTTTACAAATGCAGTACAGGTACTGTACTGTATTCGTACTTCACGTCGAAAAAATCCGCTAGGGCGCCTGGAAGCCCAGTCGCGCAGTTTCCGCAGGGGCGAGTAGATGTCGCTGCGCGATCCTCTCGGGGTTCCGTCGTCGTGGTCGGACGCCCGCCAGCTGAAAAGGCAACTTCCCCGGGGACGCCCATGCGGGTCCGTCGGTCATGTCCCTCTTCCTGCCAGACCGTATTACGAATCCTTCCCGTCCATCCGCATATGCACAGTGCAGGCAATATAGTAGCGTCTGCGGCGAGAGACGACCCGCAGCATCGCCCCAGCCGTTCTAAGGGAGGGCAGGGCCTTTGCGGTTGGGCGTCCCTGGTCGTCCGTGTTGTCGGCTGTTGAGTAAATCGCATCACTTTGTTCTCTGGGGGTGTCTGGCCGGTGTCACAGTAAAAAAAGACCATATTATCAGGGATGGATGATACAAAAGAAATTCTTGAATCGGAGATTTTTTCATGCACTCATTAGAAGCTCCCCTCTGAAAAAAATTACGCATCGTAATATTTAAAAAATACTTTGTGCTCAATTTCTATTCCTAAAATGTTTAATTGCTATGATTTTGTTAACTGTTGAGAAACCATTTAATGCCTTGTATAAAATTTGGCATACAATAAACGCATTGGGAACTGGCTTATAATAAGTCTTTGCCATAAAAAAATTACATTGAGACTCAATTGGGTTTGCAGTTATTCAAATGGACACAGGATAGGTAAATTTGATATTCGTCAGTGCAGAGTCCCAATAAATTATTTTTTAACATATGACGCAGCCCTGAAAAAGAAAGTAGAACAAAGTTGTAAGTTTCTTGACAAAAATCCAGAAAGATTTTTTATTGGAAAATGCCAAAGGAAGACTCCAAATTCACTGAAAAAAATTATTCATTAAGGAAGAAATAAAAGGCTTCATTGTGCAGATCAGTCTTAGTCTATATTTAGGCTAGCAAGTCAGTTTATGTGTAACTGATTCAATCACATAGGAGTAATTCAAATTAATTAGAAGGAAAAGCTTTTAAAATTTGAATAATAACTTTTGTTGATTGATTTCAAAAGTGGTTGCAGGATTGCTTGAATGCATGTATGGTGAAAAAAATGTTTTCTGCAACAGACTGCTGAAAAGTGGAAGTGTCTAATGAGTAATGACACAGTTTAAATGTTGAATGAAGAAAAAATGCAATATTTTATCCTCAATTTCTGTAGATTAAAAGTCTAATGCTTTCCCTGTACATCATACTCTTCTTTCACACTCAATCATTGCTAAAATTATGTTTTCCGGCGGTGGTGATAGTCCTAGGGCAGAATTTTATTTAGCTGCTTTATATCCCTGCTGGTTCCCATTCTTTTCTTTTAATGGGCTGTAAAGTTTTGTTTTTTGAGGATGTCGTTTAAAATAGTTACAGGGTCCTCAAAATTCAGGATGTTCATATTTTAATGTTGGTTTGGACACTATGTACATTTCTGTGAGTGCCTGTCTCATGGTTTTTTTTTTTTTCAGTGCATCAGCCCATACCCAAGTGGGGAGCTATTCTTTGTGTGACCCCACAAATTGTGCACACTGGGGTCACAATTGGTGTACATGGGCTATTCTGGGGTTACAAGCATGCAACTCTGTAGACAACATTTTGCTACCATTCCACTGGATTTTTGTCAAGAAACTTACAACTTTGTTCTACTTTCTTTTTCAGGGCTGCGTCATATGTTAAAAAATAATTTATTGGGACTCTGCACTGACGAATATCAAATTTACCTATCCTGTGTCCATTCCTGGGCTACATTTGGTGCACAAATGTGACATAACAGGAGTATCACACAAATGCACCAACTGTAACCTTGTGTGTAACTTATTTGTTTACAAATGTGACCCTGAGTAATCCTGGTGTGAACGCACATCTAGTGCACATTAGGGATATGCATTTGCAGCAGAAGAACTTTGGTACCCTTCAGGTGCATAGCAGGGTCACTTTGTAGAATTACAAACATATCCCCAGTGTGCACCAATTTCCCCACTTGGGGCAGTTATTGTGCATTCAAAAAAAAAATGATGCCCTTTCTAGATGTTATTTATCCATTGTGTCATTGCCTCACTTGATGAGTTGGGGTGGGGTTTAAGAAAACTTCGCTGCTTTTTTATCTCACACGGGTATTCCCAGCCGCCTGTGTGGTTAGTTGGGACAGCACATGAACCCATGCATTCCACATGGCAGTTGGTGAGGGAGGGATAATGCCTGTATCCTGTTGTGTGTGCGGGGAGCCAGCGTTGCATGCGGCCCCATGGCTAGGCGGCCGGCTGGGCGGCGGACCCGCAGTCCATTGCGGGACGCCGAGGAGAGAAGGCTGTGGGAACCACGGCTGGACGCCACGAGAATCTCTGTTATCTTGTTGTTTACGTGTGTGGATTCAGTGCAGATTTTCGTGAATTGAATTACTCGTGTACTGATTTTGCTTGAGTTCGTCGCGAAGAGGTTGTTGAGGACCCCTTGTGGGTTTCTTTCACACCATGCGAGTTGATGCACATGTGCTTAGGTTTTCCCTCCCAAGTGCGAAGTCTTTCTGCTGTATATACAGTGCTGTACAGTGTAATGCAACGGAGTTGAATTTTTAAATATGACTTCGTTGATGAATTTTTAGAAAAGTAGAATCGGTGTTGCATTTTTTTTCTGTTTTCAGTCAATTTTTTAAATTTTTGCATTTTGCTCTCTTCGAAGTGTCGAGTTTTTCCTGAATAAAATTAGCCAGTTTTCAAGATTAGCATATTTTGGTCGTTGCTCATATCTGATGTGTTCACCGTCAGTCAAATGCATATGTGCTGAAAATTCATAAACTTCCGTGCAACATTTTTTCCACTTTTAAAACAAGAAAAACGAGGAAAATGAATCAAGTGCGTGAAATTATCTGCAGGTGATGCAGTACTTCAGATGATATCCATAATTGTGGGATTCTGTGTTTATTTGCATTACTCGAATTGCTCACACCCTTTTCCCCCGCTTCAAGAGTGGAAAGTGTTTTTTTTTTTTAATTTCTTGCAACAATTTCAATTTGACTATTTCTTTTGGTGCAAGATTCACCGCTACTCAAACAGTTCGCGATTACGCCGAGTGACATTCAAGCATCAAATCGTTGATCAATTTTCTTCCTCGAGATAATTCCTAACGGTTTCGATGATTTTTTTTCAATTACGGAACGACGGGCGCAATTATTTTTGTCGCCATGCGGGGATTCTCGAATGATTTTGTTCGCTGCTGGGTGACCTCCGAATCTTTTTTTTCTTACAATTGCTGGTGTTATTAAAGTATCTTCTTGTGTGTGTTCACAGCTGAAAGAAAAGAAGAAATCGAAGAGATGATTTTCGAGAAAATTGCGCGTTGTGAGCTGATCGAGTGAGACGCTTCCGAGAATCCGAAGCGACCGAATTTTGCTCCCCGCGAAAATGCGCGGTTTGTGAAAACGAAAGATACAAACTTTCCACGAGAAGAAAAACGAAAGAGGAAAAGAATCGACGCGGAAAGTGTCGGATTTTGCGAAACCAAGAGAGGGAGGGGAACAAAAGGGAAAAACATGCCAGGCATCGGTGCTCGACGGTGTGGCGTCCTTTTTGCGGCGGCACTCGGCCTGCTCCTGACATCACCAGTGTCGGCGGCGCCGGCGGTCTTGGACGCCCCCGCGGAGTCCTGCGACTGGCGACACTCGGACGGCTCGACACAGGACATCCGACTGACGTGTCGAGCCAGGACCATCAGTGACGACGTGGATTCCTCGTCGAAGTTCTCCGTCGACGGCGTGTCTCCGACTTCAGTGACCCAACTTTCCATCGCCTGCTCCGACGTCTTGTTCTTCCAGTCCAGTCTGCGCAACGACAGTTTCTCGTCAATGCCGAATCTCAGGTCACTCGACATCGAGTTCTGCAAACTCAACTCCCTGCCTGCTGCTGCTTTCAAAACGTTGTCAAAGTTGAAAGAACTCAGTTTGCAAACGCACAACACCGAATGGTCCGCCATGTCGTTGACCATCTCTCCCACAACTTTCGACTCTCTCAAGTCCCTGGAAGTCCTGGAACTGAGTCGGAACAACATTTGGGAACTGCCCAGGGGTGTTTTCTGTTCTCTGAATCGACTCAAGACTCTGAATTTGACCACGAATCGCCTGCAAGACGTCTACGACCTGGGTTTCAACACCAGTCGCAAGACCTGCGCTTCCGAACTCACCAAATTAGACGTCTCCGGAAACGAAATCGAGTCTCTGCCCGATGACAGTTTCCGTGGACTGTCCCAACTGAGGCACTTGTACATCCAGGGCAATGGGATCGCGATGGTGAGCGACAATGCCTTTGCAGGACTGTCTAGTTTGCAAGTGTTGAACGTCTCTAGCAACAAACTAGTCGCCTTACCACCCAGGGTTTTCCGTCATTCTAAAAACCTAGAGCAGATCTACGCCTTCAACAACTCCATCTCTGTCCTGGCACCGGGTCTCTTCGATGGCCTAACCCATTTAAAAGTGCTGGACTTGTCACACAATGACCTGAGCAGTGAATGGCTCAAGGCAGACACGTTCAAAGACCTGACCAGACTAGTGGTGTTGTCTCTGTCGCACAACAGACTCACCGAGTTCAAGAACCACATGGTCTCTAGTTTGTACGTCCTGCAAATCCTGAGGTTGGACTACAACCAGATCTCGTTCATTGGACCCGGAGCATTTTCCGCGCTGTATAATTTGCACACTCTGGTGTTGAGTCACAACAGCATCATGCAGTTGGATGCACATCACATGCAGGGTCTCCATGCCCTGATGTTGCTGGACCTGGACCACAACCAACTGACATCCCTGCATCCTGACACCTTCAACAACAGTTCCCAGTTGCAGGACCTGAATTTAAGCGGCAATGCCTTGAACCATGTTCCCAAGGCGTTGCAGGAGTTGAATTTCCTGAAGACTCTGGACCTGGGGCAGAATAACATCAGTGACTTGTCAGGGGATCCTTTCAAAGGACTGAGTCAGTTGTATGGCCTGAGACTCATCAATAACTCGATCGGGGACCTGAGTGCGGAGATGTTCAAGTCCTTGCCGATGTTGAAGATTCTCAATTTGGCGCACAACAGGATCACTTCGATTGCTGAGGGAACACTGGACCAGAATCAAGAACTGCAGGCTGTGCGTCTCGATGGCAACTTCATCAGAGACATCAACGGTGTGTTCACTAACCTGGAGAAGCTGATTTGGCTGAATGTGTCCGACAACTACATCGAATGGTTCGACTATGCCATTATTCCGAGAAGTCTAGAATGGCTGGACATACACAAAAATCAAATCAGAGAGTTGGGCAACTATTACGGAATGGAGAACCAGTTGAAATTGACCACGCTCGAGGCGAGTTTCAACAAGATCAGCGAAATCAGCGGGAAAAATTTGCCCAACAGTCTCCAGCTCTTGTTCCTCAACGACAATGCCATTCGAAACATCGCACCTTACACGTTTTTCGACAAGACCAACTTGACACGGGCTTACCTTTATGCGAATCAGTTGACGACCCTGGATTTGAGTGCGTTGCAATTGTCGCCCAGGGATGGTACCGAGGCGCCACCCGAGTTTTACATCGGTGGTAACCCGTTCCAGTGCGACTGTAAAATGGAATGGCTGCAAAGAATCGGCAGTTTGGAGCACTTGCCTCAGGTGATGGACTTGGACGGGGTTTATTGTCATTTGTTGTTCAATCGGCAACGCAGCTTCGTGCCGCTCGTCGAAGTCGACAGTTCGCAGTTTTTGTGCACTTATCACACCCACTGCTTCGCCATTTGTCACTGTTGCGACTTTGACGCGTGTGACTGTGAGATGACGTGTCCGAACAACTGCACTTGTTACCATGACCAGTCGTGGACGTCGAATATCGTCGACTGCACTCGAGCTGGGTACGTATAAAAATATTTCCATAAAGTTTTTATTTTTACAATTTTATGTAAGTGTCAGAAGAAGGAAGAAATGATTTTCCCAGGCATGAAGAAGGAAGTGCGTTGAAGTTTTAGCTTTGGCAGGCAGTAAATCTTTGCGTTTCAAGGACTTTAGCCATGAATTTACGCGGTGCAGGCAATTTTTCTATCCCGTATTTTTGCGCGGATTTAAGACTCAGTTTATTCAGATTTGGACTTCCATAAAATCAGTGTGCGTTTTGGATTTGCATGCAAAGTGCTGGTTATTGACGGGGTCCAGAAATGCGGGCCCATTTTCGATGATTACTACCTCAGTTACTCTTTCAACATCCTGCTACTATACTGTTCAAGCGTGATTTTAAATAAGTGAAATTGGTGATTTATTGTCCGTAATCATTGTTTACGAGGACAATTTGACAATTATAGAATACAAGTGAAGTGAGCCTTATTTATGTGCAGTTTGTCAGTGTTATACAACGCATTTTGTACATGGATGTGTGGAATTTTGAAATTGTTAACCTTCACAGTTACCTGGAATGTCGTAAAGTCGTAGTTTTTCGTTAAAAGAGGGCCCCGACATACGTACAATAACTTGAGAAAAGGACATTTTGCCAATATTTCTAGACAGATAGATTTTTAACATTTTGACGTCTCTTGAATAAATTGAGCTTTTTATATTGAAAAGAAATGTTATTCTAAATTCAATATAATTCATATTCCAAAGGCTACTTTTTTTCTTTTCAATCTAGGAAGATTTATGCTTATTCTTGGTTATTTTCATGCCAAAAGATGAGATTTTTTCTGCAGTGTGACTTTCTACATCTTGAAGTTGAGAAAAATTATTTTTTTTATTTGGGAGAATTTTGTTCCAATTTTTAATCAATCCGGGAACCAATTGAATATACGTTACTCCCATTGAAGTGTGAGGGAAAACGTGACCCGTCATAGGTACGAGGTCCATGCACAAATTACGTCCGCATCTCGGGGCCCCATTTTATTGCATTAGTTTTAAGGACTTTTCAGTCTGACATTGTCGTGGTAGGATTTTTATGTTGTCCTTTTTTGCGTTGAAGGGTCATATATGAAGAATGTTTCATTTCATTTTTAACCCTGTGGATTAGAGTTTTGCAAATTTAATCAGTGTGAGAGGCTTGCGTCGTTGATGGGGGCATTTTATTCGTGATAATTGGCAGAGTTTGAGATTTTTGTCGCAAGTCTTGTGTTGCAGCAGTTCCGTCTCTCAAAAGTTGATGTATATTTATTTTTTGAAAATGATTATTGTGTGATTTTGCAGGTACAAAAGTGTTCCGGAAAGGATCCCCATGGACGCCACGGAAGTGTACTTGGACGGAAACGACATTTACACTCTCAAGTCGCACTTGTTCATCGGTCGCAAGAACATGAGGGTCTTGTACATGAACAGCAGCAACATCGTGTCCATTTCCAACGGCACTTTCAACGGGTTGCGTAACCTGAAAACCCTGCACTTGGAGAACAACAACATGAAAGAACTGCACGGGTTCGAGTTCGAAGGCCTGGAGAATTTGCGGGAACTCTTTTTGCACGACAACGAGTTGGCAGTGCTCAACGAATCCGTGTTCCAGCCGCTGAGTGGCCTGGAAATCCTCACTTTGCGGAACAACAGACTCACCACGTTCCCGGTGTGGAACCTGATGACGACCAGTCCGTATTTGGTACAGGTTGCCCTGGCTGGCAACCCGTGGTCGTGCGAGTGCGAACACGTGGCCCAGTTTGCGGGATGGATCGACTCGAACCGGAAGAAGATCGGGGATGTGTCGGAAGTTCACTGCGTCCGGAACTCGAGCGTCGTGGCGGTGGTTGGCGGCAACTTGACGCATTGTGGCGGTGAAACGCAGCCCGTGGTGGTGGTGCAACCCGCAGCCTTGCACGTGCATCTTCCGCTCATGATAGCCGCCGTTTGTCTCTTCGTGGCGGCGTTTGTCTGCACTTTTCTCGTCTTCCGGTGAGTTTTTTTTTTTTTTAAATAATTTTATCGCTCTTTTTTGCTTGAATTTTCGTTGATTCTACGAGCATCTTCTTATTGTGGAGCTATTGGGAATTCCGGCTTTTTTTTGTTTGTCTGACTTGTGACGAGAATTTTACTTCAACATTTTTTTTAAATGATATTCATTGAGGTTAAGAGGCTGTTGACGTAAGGATTAGGACATTCCCGCTTTTGTCGTGTCAATAAGTGCTTTCTGTGCGTTGCAGTCTTACATTTGAGTCGAGATATTTCAGCTCAGGATCTTGAGAATACAATATTCGAAACTAAATTTAATTTTGCGTTCGGGAAAGTTTTCTCTTTGACTGTACCGCATCAAACCTGTAAAATTTAGGTTTTTTGATGGACAAATATCCTGCAATAAGTAATGCATGCATTCGTTATTTTTTTTGTCTTGTTGGATGTGTTGCAGATTCCGCAAGGAATTGCGAGTGTGGACGTTCACCAACTGCGGCCTGCGGATCTGCCAGAGCCCCGCCTACGAAGGCGACTCGGAGCGGCTTTTCGACGCCTTCGTCACGTACAGCTCGAAAGACGAAGTGTTTGTCACGCAAATGCTGGCCCCCGAGCTGGAACAGGGCAGTCCTCACTATCGCCTCTGTCTCCACTACCGGGACTTTCCCGTGTCTGCCTACTTGGCAGACACCATCATCGAGGCCGTGGACTCCTCCAAACGCACCCTCCTGGTCCTCTCGCACAACTTCCTCCAAAGCGAGTGGTCCCGATTCGAATTCAAGTCCGCGTTGCACCAGGCGTTGAGAGACCGTCGGAAGCGACTAGTCGTCATCGTGTTGGGCGACGTGCCGCAGAGGGACCTGGACCCGGACTTGCGGCTCTACCTCAAGACCAGCACGTGTCTGTATTGGGACGAGAAGTCCTTTTGGGAGAAGCTCCGGTTCGCGATGCCGGACGTGAAGCAGCAGCCCAACAGTGGTGGTGGTGGTGGTGGTAATAATGGAGGCGGAGTCGGTGGCAACGCCGCGCACCAGCTGCACCATCATCACCATCATCATTACCACAATGGCGGCGGTGGTGGTGGAGGAGTAGGAGGAGGAGGTGGTGTTGGTGGGGGTGTTGGTGTTGGCGGAGGGGTCGTGATGGACAGTGTGTCGACTAGTGGGACTCTGGTGTCGAATGGGCGCGTGAGCAATTGTCCCACGTATGCGGAGCATACTTATGCGACGCCCAAGTTTGACACCTACGGGCACCACCACTTGCACCATGTGCACCACGGGCACCACACTCTCAACAATGGGCTCTTGTGGCGTCCGCAGCCGCCTGACCCGGCCACCATTGGTATTCATCAGGTGAGAAATCTTTTGACTTTATATATTTTTTTCTTTGCAAAAAATATCTGCGAGGAATTCTTGGTTGGTTTATAAGCTTAGCAATTTCTTGTGGTTCCCTGGTTCGTCGCGTGAAATGTTTGGCACCTTCACTGAGCCATTTTTCGCCATTTCCTGTCTTTTAAGTCAAATATTGCTCGATGTTTTCCATTACAGTATTTCACGCTTTTTTTCTTTTTTTGAGTCGCCGTCATTCGAAATGGGAAATTTTATAAATTATTATTTACAATATTCAAGAATGAAAAACCGGATTTAAGGTAAAAGAATTTGTTTGCTCTCAGGAAATTTTTTCTTGCAAAAGTGATGTTGAGATTTGGAAAATTTCAATGAGTGGGCAAGTTGTTGGCAAAAGACGTGGCTGCGATTGCACGAAAATCCTTGTCAAATGAACGTAAACTTGCTCAAAAAGTTTTTATTGGTTATCCCACATGAGTGCTCTGACTGAGAAACTTTGGTACCCGTTAACTCTTATTTTGAAGGTATTCGTGAAACTTTTTGAACTCTTGAATTCCCGTGATGGGTACTTTCTTGGAGATTACGTATAGTATTGTTTAGCTCTGCATAGTCAGAGATTGAAACGAGGGAAATATTTTGCGCAGGGGAATTTCGTTTATTTTATTTTCGAATGATATTGTCCCTGAAAAATGTCAAAATCTGGTTTTCCGTTTCTTCTTCTTCGTCTTCTTGGCTGGCGCGTGGAATTTTATTTTTTCTTATTTCGTCATTGTACGAAAAGTTACTGCTTTGGAAACCGTGACGAAAAAGTTTTCCAACGCATAGAATTGAGGAGCTAAAAAGGGGTATGCAACTTTTTTTTTCTTCTTTGGGATGCATCCGAGTCAGGATGTTTGGTCGCTTGATCCTTTCTATTTCCTCTCTCCTGAAAAAGGGAGTTTTTTTTTAATGCTGGCACCACTTGTAATTTTGAGATGCCATGATGGTTTTTCGGAAGACAGAATTTTATTTTGTGATGCTCTGTGAGTCCCTTCTTTTTTCCTAGGCGGCGGCCATTTTGTTAAGTCGGGTTCTTCCTGCGTGAGGTTAATTATTTATCACGCAAGGGGTGACGAATTTTATTCACGGTGCCGGAGGAAAGGAACCCAAAGCCGGGTGTTTGTGTCCCCCTGAGGTTCTTCCCTGTCCAGGTCTTTTCAAAAGGAGGGTCGGAGTTCATCCCCCCCCCCCCTGGCTGCGATATTGAATCCGTGTCTGAACGTGTGACTGAGATTCCACACGCCGTAACCCAGGGTTTTTCTCTATTTTATTTTGTTAACCCCCGCGTTGGTTTTTTTTTTTTTGAAAGTCGAAAAGCCAAGTTTTGGGGAGGACACCTGCGATAACGGGGATGCGCTGAAAGTTCGGGTGGTTTTTTTTTTTGCTCACTCAGAGATCTGAAGACTGTTTTACGTGCTTGAAAAAAAGTTAACTTTTGATGATTTTTTTTTTCGGAGAAATTTTGCGAGTATGCGCGGAAATTTGCATTCTTACTCAAGTGAGTTTGACATCCAATGACTGCGTGAGGTTCTTTCAGCTTTCTACCATTCGCAGTAATTTCAGCTAGTTTTACAATCTTGGACGAATTTTTATTTTATTTTTTACTGGTGCAGTCATGAGTAATTTTAATGCGTTTCTACTCTGGTCCAAAACATCGAAGTGAATAATCCAAGGCTTGAAAAAAAAAGCTTTTGCTGAATTTGGTGTCTTATTCGCCAAGGCTTCTTCGTTGTTAGATTGTTTACCATTTTTGCAGGTACTGTATTAAACTGGAACTCGGAGTGATTAAACCTTTATCTACTTCTGTGATCTGCTTGGAAATGAACCACTCTTATCCGAAACGTAATCACACGGGACTTGTCCACACTGTAACTGATTGTATCCTTACCCTGTCTCAATTTAGCCAGGTAAAGCTAATCTAGAATATCCGATCTAGCAATAAACTTGCCAGCTGAATGGTGTAACTTATCCCGAAAAACGTGACTGCGGTTATCGCTTCTGTGGCGGAAATTTGAAAGCGTCATGTGCTGTTTGAAAAGGACCTGTCAGCTGATTTTTTTGTTTCTAAAATAATGGGTGTCTGCAAGAAAGAAAAAAAATTTTTCTTTTAGTTTCGTGATGCATAAATTTGTTTTGGTGCAGGGGGGGATTTTTCTGCTGGCTTTTTTGGAAGAGCCCCACGGAAACAGGGGAAATAGCGAGCCTCGAGGCGTCTTTTGTGAGCGCGTTCAACTGGTACTTTTTCCCCCCCAAATTTTTTCCTGCTTTGCACATTTTGCCGGGGGTGGAGGAACAGGAAAAGAAAGAAAAAGAAACTGGAGAGCGAGAGAAATATGCGTGCCAAAAAGCCAGCGCCGATTTGCTTCGCTGCGAGGGAAATGATTCTGAAATCAGAGGTGCGGAATTCTAGGCCGCCTGCTACAAAGGAAAAATTAAAAAAGAGAGAAAAAAGTTTCTTTTCCTCTCTTTTTAGTTAAATTTCTCGCTCGTTCAATTGTTTCCTGGGCGCGTAAAGAAGGAGGCAATTAGGCACGCTTATGTTCGGCTTTTCAGTCACGCAGTTTTGTTTTCTGACTCATTTTATACTGGGTGGACATTGCGATATTCGGGCCCGATTTTCAAGCAACAACTGAAATGCGTCAGAAATTTAAATGCCATTACCTATAATTTCGAATACAATTTTTCTCAAATTTTAATTCCACCGCTGTCCTGGAAAATCGATTTTAAATTAAACATTCTTTAAATAGTCCAAAGTTAGTCAGTTTTTTTTATTTCCTGTTGTATTCACTGTTCGAAAATGGTTTGAGTGTTCTTGAAACTGAAATGAATGGAAGATTATGATGCTGAGGAGCAAGAGTTGGGCTCAATGAAACTATAAATTCTCTAGATTCTCGAATGTGAATATGTTTTGTTCTTGTACACCGGATTATAGTTTTTTTTGTGGAAATTGAAAAAAATGGAGAGGATTTAATTTCTGTTCCAGAAAGAGACAGCACCTTTTTTTGCGAAAATATTTTATTTGCTTTTCAATTTTGGACTCCATTACGAAGTTTCTCTTTTAAGAACGTGTCATTTTCAGCTCTCGCAAATTCCTAAATGCTGTAAATTGTGATTCAGGATTCTGACGAAAATTGTCTCGTTCAAACCCTTTACTTGACGTCGGTGTGTGTGTGTGTGTGAAATACGAAGGTAACCGGGTCATTACTTCAATCCTGGGCTGCGTGACCCGCGGTCGGGTCATTTGTTGTCATTGCAGATCACCCGGTTGACCCCTTTGCTGGTTTTTACGAGCGTCGTGGCGAATCCTTCTGATCGCTAGTTGTGAGGGGAAATCCATTCACTTGCAAACTAGGGTAATTCATTATACTTCCTCCGGGATCATTCTTTTCAAGGCCCTAATAGATTTCCAGTGATTCGTGAAATGATGGTATTTTGTGTCCGTGTGAGTGTGACCTCGTTCGGCCTGTTTCAGGATTGTTCTGGATAATTTAGCCCCAGTTGGGAATACTTTTTGCATGAAAAAAAAACATTAATTGCGCGAAATGAATTGAGTTGTTAAATGAAAGCGGCTTTGTTTTGGCGGAAACGTGATGAGTCGGTTTCCAATTTTTGGACTTCGTTAAATTAAAGTTAATGATTGCTTGCGATTTACGTCCATTTTCGTATTGAAATAAAATCTTTAATTGAGTGTGAACGGAAATCGCTTATACTGTACCATTTTTAGTTCATTTAGAAACTTCCATTTCTGCCGGAAGTGTATGAGAAAAGTGAGGCATAACTTGAAATTTGCGGATTATGGCATTACAGAACAAAATGCGAATTTCGTGTGTTCTTTGGATATGATTCTCAGGTACTTTGCCTTATTTTGAATTCGTCCTGGATGAACTGCTGTAGTGTGTGTAATTATTTTGGAGCAGAGGAAATTAAAGCGCTGATTTTTGAATGTGCTGCTTTGAACACGCACTCAAATTTTCTCAAGTCTCCGTCCTACTCCAGAAAAGCCTGCCAATGGAAACTCTGAATGACTTCACTTTGATCTAAGATCCATTGTGTTCATTTTTTTGCGGGCCCAAGGTGATCCATTATTTTAGCGCGTCAGAAAATGCGAAGCGTGTCTCGCTTTTATTTATTTTTTCCCTCGTGTTGCAGAGTTTGGACGGCTTCGGGGCAGTTCAGTAAAATACGTTCATTTGAAATGCATTGAAAAAAGGCGGCTGGGGCTGGAAATGAACTGCGGTTGTTATTCTCGCCGATCTCCTGTTGTGGTGGGCCCTTGAGGGGGGCATCACACCAACTTCATTCCTTTTTTTCCACGTCCCAAGAAATTCCCTTCTCCGCATTTTTCTCCTCCATCCAACAACAAAAATAAACAAATGAATAAATCGCACCCTGTTCAAGGCACAGCCTCAGATTTCCTAAAAAAGAAAAGATTATTATTTATGCGATTCCAGTGGTCGATTTCGCTGCAGGAAATAATTCCGCATTTGTTTCACAGAAAAAGTCAGCTGTTCGCGGTTTTGTGACTCGAACAATGCGTGGATGTGTGTGTGTGTGTTTGGTTGACCTTTTTAAAGCTGGATTCAGTGGTGGGAGAAAAAGGATGAGGAATAAGGAAAGAAGGAGGGGCCTCTCTTACAATTAATTCGGCACTAACCTAGAGCTGCGCCACAGGAATCGCCGACAGTTCGACACTTAAATTAACGGCGGGGCTCTACACTCACACTAAGGCTGATGAACTCGGACCGGTTTCCTTGAGAAAAAATCCAGGGCGCCGCCGCCATGTGAAGGAGAGAGAGAGAGAGAAGTTTGGAATGCGAGGCAGGCGTGAACTGGGTTGAAGACGAGCAAGTCGGAAATTTTCCCCCATTATTCTTAATATTTTTGGGACGCTTTAATTTTGCAAAACACAGTAAAAATCTCATGACAAAAAATACCGTTTTAATACATTTATTTGTTTTAATACATGACAAACTCTAGTCACGGCAGAAATCCCGTGGGGTAAATGTTAGAAACAATCTCGCTTGAACAAACTTTCCGATTCCGATGGATGAAAATTTTTTTGAGAAATGTTGACTAGTTTTTCGAGGAGGAAATTTCCTGAATGAGACGGACTAAGTTTGAAAAATCCCAATCCCAAGTGTAACTGACTTGGTTTTTTTTTTTAGGATGGATAAAAGCTGAAATTAATGACAAACATGATTCCAAGTGGTGTCACACATTATTCTCCCAGAATGAAGAGATTGGTGCCACTGATGGAATCCAGGATTGAATGTTTTTTTTTCTTCAGAGGATCACTCAGTTTTCAAGCCATAAAAAAAAAGAGAATGTCAGAAAAGCGAGATGTAATTGCTTGTAGGCAGGTGTGATGTGATAATTTTTCCAGTCATGCATTTTGAAGATTTTATTATAACAACTGATTCAGTGCAACAAACTTTCTTGAAAGTCACCGGAAGTTCGTTGTAACGAGATTTTACTGTATCAAATGTATCTCTCCCTCACACCTGTGCAAATCAGAGAAGTGATCTATTTACTCAATTTTCTATATTTTTTATGATGGTTATTCACAGAATTTTGTGGTTGAAAAAATTAAAACTATTCAGTACAGAAACAATTCGAACCATCTTTTGCCGAAAACAAGGAAGTACAGTACGAAAAATATTTTATGCAGAAGAATTTGCGAGAGAAATAACCATGTTTCTCCAGTTTAACCGCCGCAAATGTTTTTCTTTCTTCATTTTTTCTGGTGTAAGGAAACTTTTGGAAATATCTTCAAAGTATTTCAATAAATTATTTTGGCTGTGGTATCCGATTTCCTCGCGTAAATAGTTTTTTTTTCGCTGATTTTAGACGCGCCATTTCGAGAAGCGCACAACTGAGTGTGTAGATCGGAATCGAGGACAGAGTCGTTGGAATTCTTTCGCGATATGTACTCAAGGCAATTCGCAAGACGAGTGCTCAAAAATTATTTTTTTTTCTGGTATGAATCTCATTTTTGCTATTTGTGCAATACCATGATTTTNGGAGAGAATGTTAATTAAGCCGTGATTGGATCTCGACGCGGTGTCCTTAGCGGCTGTCAAGCTGTGAATTTAATTGCCGCCCCGAGATGTGAGTGTGATTCCGACTACTTGAGCCTGGCCAAAGGAATAGAAAAAATCCAGGGCGCCGCCGCCATGTGAAGGAGAGAGAGAGAGAGAAGTTTGGAATGCGAGGCAGGCGTGAACTGGGTTGAAGACGAGCAAGTCGGAAGTTTTCCCCCATTATTCTTAATATTTTTGGGACGCTTTAATTTTGCAAAACACAGTAAAAATCTCATTACAAAAAATACCGTTTTAATACATGACAAACTCTAGTCACGGCAGAAACCCCGTGGGGTAAATGTTGAAATTATCTCGCTTGAACAAACTTTCCCATTCCGGTAGATCCGAAAATGTTTTGAGAAATGCTGACTAGTTTCTCGAGGAGGAAATTTCCTGAATGAGACGGACATAGTTTGAAAAATCCCAATCCCAAATGTAACTGACTTGGTTTTTTTTTTCTAGCATGGATAAAAGCTGAAATTAATGACAAACATGATTCCAAGTGGTATCCCGCATTATTCTTCCAAAATGAAGAGATT